GGGGGGGCAACAGGTAAAAGTGAACCCGCCGGGTAAGCAAAGGACTTAAACGGAGGAAAGAGGAGGGAGGGTAAAGGAGCAAGCGAAGATAGGATGGCAGAAGGGGGTCGATGGACTGCGGACGCGCGCCCGCATCCGGCAGGCATTTTCGTTTGTTGTTTTTCCTTTGGCATGGGGAGGAAGCTAGGTAGCGCCCGGATGCGACCCATCCCGGTTCGTGCTACATTGCTATTGAGAACGGCGGAAGCTACTTGGTGCTGGAATGTTCGTTCAATGCCAAATCGCAGTCGGAATTCTGGGCTTTGCGTGGGCGCAACCGGGCACTGTATCCGTACCAGGTTGTGGATGGGCTGGCCAGTTCCAAACCAGCTGCCTGCAGCCAAGCCAACATTTCAATTCCTGCGCAGGAGGGGGAGGGTGTGTCGTTACCAGTTTATCCGCCCCCCGCAAAAGGTGTGCCGTTACCAGTTTATCTGGCCACCCCAAGGCGTGTTCCAGTCCCATGTGCCACTATTCCGCCTATACTCTAGCGAAATTGCTTTGCCGCCAGCGCCGTGTGGTTCCCTGGCAGCTGGGACGCAAGCTTTGGCCTGTGTGGGCGCGACCAGCTTCCATCACCAAGGACAGCGTTAACAGCAGTCCAGCTCAGTATTCCCAGTATTCCGTCCTCTGCCCCTTTCGCCCACTCCTATTTTTTTTCCTGTTGTCTATATTTAGGCGACTTCTTCACTCGCCGTCCTTCCACTAACAAACCATATCCATACCTCTTGACTTGCAACCATCTAGGTCATTCCCCATCCCCATCTGCAGCACAGCATCATTCTGCCATCCGTGCCAGCGTTTAAGCCCTCATACACTTGAGCCCCTTCCGCTCCCTTCATTCTACCGCTTCCTATATCTTGGCATCTCCTTCCTTCGTTATCCAAGTTTCCTTCCGCAAGCATGTCTGCATCTTCCCCTCCACCTCTTGCGAACGCCATCGTGGACGAACCGGATAGGGATACACCGGATGCCATCGTGGGCATAGATCTTGGGATGACTAGTCTGTCTGCCGTCTGGTTTCTTGCCCATGTCTCGAGTCTGACACTTAGCTAACATTGGCGCTTCCATTACTCAGCAACCAAAGTCACGATACGTTACCTCGCCCCGGGACGGCCCAAGAGGCAGCAAATACCCGTCACGTTCCTTCACAACACAGAATGGACCCCTACTGCCGTCTCCTGCGGAGTGGGCCAGCGGGGACAGGACGACCAAGTCCTCAAAACGGGCCATGAGGCGTTGCGGGGCAAGTTGACTGAAGGTGTCAACGTATATGAGTGTTTCAAGCTCGACGCATTGAGAAACCCACGCGCGCGCATAGCTTCCTCCAACGGCAAATGCGAGACAGAGGGCGGGAAGTTGGTGTTGGACTTCCTCATAGCTTTGAGGAAGCCCTTGATCGACTTCTTCGACCGCCAGCGAGACGAGGAGGAAGTCCCTGCTTGGCAGCATGCCAAAATTCACATCACTCTCAGCATCCCTGGCATCGTGGGAGACGCCGGACGCGAGACCCTCTACGCCCTTGCAAAGCAGGCCTTCCACCGGCCAAATGTTGCAGTCTGGCCAGTGGCTCTTAGTGAGCCAGAGGTGGCCGGCTACAGCGTTGCCGAAACGATAAAGGAGCAGGTTCCGGTAGGCCTTGCTTTTGGTCTTGCTCAACAGAACATGCAAAGCTGACCACATCATTAGAACCTCCCCAAACGGAGCACCCTACTCGTCGCGGACCTGGGAGGGGGAACATGCGTAAGTCCTTGCTTTGCTACAAACTCTAGCCGGTTTGCATTCCCCTTTGCTCGTAGCTAGTGGCTTGGGCTTTTGCTGACCGGGTACCCCCCGCCGTCGCTATGCAGGATCTGGCTCTCGTCCAGGTGCACAAGAACAAGCCCGTCCTCGGAAAGGCATTCATCAAGCCTGTCTCAAGCATGTTCAGAGGCGGGTCTCACATTGACAAAAAGCTACAAGGCCTTGTCACAGAGACGTTCCAGCGAGCTGCTCCTTCTTTGAAAGGAGCCATCACCCCGGCGGGCGCAGCTCATGCTGTCTTCTCTGACCCCAAGTTCTGGGACTACAAGGCAGAATTCTCAAAGGGGGGAGAAACTGTGTTGTACAACATCAGGCATCTTGCCGAGCAAACCAATGTCCCCGAGATTGGAGGTATCGGAATCCAGGGGGAGTTTCTCGTCGTGAAGTGGTACCTCAGACCTGCCCCCAAAATTCCCTTAGAACCACAAGCCTTGGCTGGGTGGCTGACCACATTGTGACGCCTCTAGGGAGGCTCTGAAGCCGCTTTTCGATGCGCAGATCTACGGCTCTCCGGGACAGCCAGCTATCGTCGAGCACCTTCTCGACATGCGTGACGATGTTTACGTCGGATCTCACCTGGCCAATGAGGCCAAGCTGGGCGCGGGGATCGACTGCTTCGTCTTCGTCGGGGGCTTTGGCTCCTCCGAGCACGTGCAGCGCGAGATTAAAACAGCGCTTGCCGCGGGCGCCAGCCCGGCATCCAGGGCGACTCTCGAGGTTACAAGGCGGACAAAGTTTGTCCCTGTCCACAAGCCTCAGATGGCGGTTGCCCACGGCCTCGTCGAAGCTCACCACCTGTTTTTGAAGAAGTGGAAGTTGCAGGACGTGATGCCAGCGGCGACTTTACGTCGGCTGATGGGGTCCCGGCGCCGTAGGGCGGTGTAGCGAGCGGGGCGACGGCGACCTCCCCTCCACCATGTGGTTTTTTCCCCCCCATCTTCCGCCCTTATTTCTGCCTTCGGTCGCTAGGAGCTCTGTCCCTCGCGCGCTTCCTTTTTTCCTTTATCCAAATGGTTTTCTCAATGTCCTAATGGTGGTCGGCTGCATCTTCTTTTTTATAATTGTGTTATTTCCGTCCATTCTAGGTCTCTTTTTATTCATTCATGGTTTTCTTCGTCTCTCGGTATTCCAGAGGTCCCGTTTCCTTATCTAGTAATAATCATGGCAGATCGAACACTGGCCAGTTTGCGAGACTTGATAGTAACCGAAGGCGTAAAGATGTGGGTGGCTCAGGCTCCCAGCTGCCCGGGGTACAGGGGCTCAGCTGAACTGAGGCCCCCTGGCGTCTTAGGGAGAATTCGACTGGAAGGCGCCTGTTCGTCGCAAACCGCCACCACCGCTTCCTTGCTTCATCGTATGCGAATGCCGGAGCAACGGTGGCCGCAGTGCACACAGCGCGCGATTGCTGACGCGAACGCATCTAGCTCTGGAAAGGATAGGCTTATAAAGTGCGCTTCGCAGGCCCAGCAACGAGAGCGGCGAGAGCCTCTTCGGGCAGAAAGGCTGGGGAGATCGAGGTCTGGCCCATAAGAGCCTCCGAACCGAGGTGACGACCCCCTGTCTCGCCATCGGCCGGGGCGGCGACGAAGCCAGGCGCAGGCGCAGCGCCGGGATACTCCGGTGCGCGCGGCGCTACACGTTCTTGTCCGGTAGCAAGTTCGCGACGGGCGACGCCAGCCCCATGGTTCGCGCCATATCGCCCGCAATCCTCGAAGACACCAGCGCGCGCGCGGCGTCATGGTCCCGGCGGACATGCTGGCCATCACGGCCAACTGCTGCCGCTACAACAGCAACAACCGCCTCAGCGCGAGCGCGCTCGGTCCCGGCCGTGAGCCTCAGCGTCGCGATCCTGACGCTGGCGCTGGTGAGCGGCGACATCCTGCGCTACGATGCCGCCTGCTGCGAGGCGACGACGGCGGCGCAGGCGGAGACTCCCGTGTTTCCTTTGCCTCTATGGCCGGCGGGCACCGACGACGAGCACACGGACCGGGGCGCCACGTTGTCGGGGAGGAACACATGGGTCACATCTGTCGAAGTCCGCTGCGATCCTCGCGCCCAGCAGATCACTCCGCGCAAGTGACTCAACGAGCTGCAGTTTTTTTTTTTTATAACAATACGAGCCACCCCGGTGACCTGGTCATCCCTTGGCCAAGACGGTTGCGATAGGACGGTGTGGGGGTGTATGTTTTGTTGTCTGGCGTGTAGCTAAGCAAATTAATGGACGGATTTTGTGGCGGGTGTGCCTAGTCGCGATCTGACCAGGACAGCTCCGGGTGGCACGTTTTTAAACGGATGCTGGGGTGCAATTCTGCCAGTATCCAGGCGGAACTGGGCTTGTTAACGCGATCGATAGGATCGGGCGGCAGATGTCAGACAGCCAGCCGCCTTCAAGGAGCAGCCCATTTAGCCCTGCGGTTCGGCCCGTGCTGACATGTGTGTTCCCATGCCGGTGTCGTGCAGTGCGTGCCTGCTGGGGAACATAACGCCATCGATCCACGAATGCACCGGGGCCGTAGGGCTGGGTCTCTAGCGCAAGTACACAGTATGAATGGCATTGTGCCAGCTGCAGGGGCGTCGAGTCGAGTCGTCACACCCCCCTGGACCTCGACCTGGACCCCACCGGGGCGAGCCTAACAAAGGCTTTGCCGAAAAAAGAAGGAAAAAAGAAAGAAAGAAAGGATGGAAAGAAACAAGGCGTTGACCCGACCGTTTGGAACCACCTCCACCCCCGCCTGGCTTTTCTCGGTTAGCAGTCCACTCAACCCTAGCTGGTGGCGGCTGCTCAATTGCGAAGCTTTCCATTTGAGGCTTGCAATCGTGGGTGGTATCGTCGCTGGGTCGCGCCGCGGTCGCCGCAAGCTCCCAAAAAAAGGAATGGAGAAAAGGGTATCACTGGCTGCTGGCACAACAAGGTTGACACACAAATCACCAAACAGTTGGGACTTGGTGCATTTCGCAAGGAAGCGCCTGTTTTGTTGCATCTGTGGAAGCCTCTCGCCGCCTTGCCACCGGCGTCAATCTAGTCCCAAGCCACGGTCTCCGAGGGCCGGCTGGACGGCCTGCAGGGATACCAGGAAGATGGCGCTAACTTGTAGCTCTAAATGACAGAGGCTTCAATGCCTGGCAATGCTGGATTTATTTACCTTCTCTGTGCTCAGACGGGAACGCAGCACGACTTCCTTAGGTCCCATCCGAGCCATCGATCTGCGGCGCTGGAGACCTCGAGTTTTCAGGGTGGTGTAACATTTGCGGCTTGGTATGGAGGAGAGGGCGCATGACATGTCTTTTGTCTTTCCGGAACGTCGACAAGGAAAGTGGGTTGATTGGCATCATGGCTGGTCGTTTTGGCGGGCTGTTCACGTGTCTGCTCTTTTTACAATTGACAGGCGCGCAATTCTCGCAGTGATGACGGTGCCTGCTCGTTTTCTCTCATCGGAGGCGCGCGTTGATTAGCGCGGATCCACCTGGTGGGGCATGCGGCGGGACCGTGGGAGGGAGCCCGGTTGGCTGCAAGGCATTGGCTGGATTGATCACAGTCCGCTTCTTCGATTGAGGATTCTCTTCCTTGCAAGCGAGTGCGAAACGGGCAAATCTTGATTGCCCCAGCCCATCAAGCCTCCCGGGTGCTGCGCCTCCTCCGACCCGGTGGGCCAACCTCTTTCCCCTTTCCCCACCGCCGAATGAGTATATCTTGGGACCGAGTGCGAACGACCCGGCCGAGCTTTCCCCCGATCTGGCTACCTAGGCCGGCTATTGTGTGTTTGGTCATGGTAGGCCTCGTTATCCTGCGCGCGAACGGGCTTCGGCGTGTTGGTCATGGTCATTACCGTCCCAACGCGACGAGGGGCCCTCTGGTTGTAGGCATCGTTTGTATAAGACCGTGGTCGTAGACGGGTGGGATGTGTTTGTTTTTTCTTCCTTTAACGTCGCAGCGCCCATTGAACGTGTAATTCGCCGACTTGCAAGCAACCAATCAATACGTCTCTGCATGCCCCTTTGCCTCTAGCACGCCGCAACCCAGAACCATGGTCAAGGCCAGCCGCCCCCCGGCCAACGGCCTCGTCGCCGTGCTCCGCCGGCTTTACAACCCGCTCGGCTTCTCCAAGGGGTACAACTTCGCCCTGTTCTTCGTCCTGGCCGGCGCACTCCTGGGCTTCTCCCTGGCCCGCCTGCCATACCTCGACTACTTTGGCACCTTCCGCAGCGCCAAGGCCACCGAAGCCTCGTACTTCCGCCCCGGCGCTGCCCGCGTCGGCATGATGCTGCACCTCTTCACCATCATCCCGGCCTCCGTCCTCGTGGTCCTGCAGTTCGTGCCCGCGATCCGCCACCGCGCCGTCCTCGTCCACCGCCTCAACGGCTACCTCGTCGTGCTGCTCGCCCTCGTCGGCACCGCCGGCGCCCTGGCCGCGGCCCGGCACGCCATGGGCGGCACGCTCGAGGTGCAGACGGGCGTGGGGTTCCTGGCCGTCGTCTTCGTGGGCGAGCTGGCGCTGGCGTGGGTCAACGTCCGGCGCCTGCAGATCGACCAGCACCGCGCCTGGATGCTGCGCGCCTGGGTCTTGGCCGGCGCCATCCTGACCTCGCGCCTGTGCCTCGTCCCCATGATGTTCATCAACGCCCCGGCCGGCTACGCCACCGTCCGCACCTGCGACCAGATCGACTTTGAGCACGACGCCGACCGCCCCGCCGTCCTGGCCCACTTCCCCGGCTGCGCGGGCTTCTACGGCGGCGCCGGGGTCAACGGCAGCGGCCCCGCGGGCCCGCGCCTCTCCGTCGTCGTGCCCGCGGACCCGAGCAAGGGGGGTCTGTCCGGCCTGGGCAGCTCTCTCACTTTCAACTTTGGCGCGGCCATCTGGCTTGCGATGGCCATCCACATGATTGGTGTCGAGATATACGTAAGTTTCATTGGGAAAAAAATTATCATTGCCATCGTTTCTTTTCATCCCTTTCTAGCCTGTTCGGATCTCTAACGGCATGTCGACAATAGTTGAGGCTCACCCCCGCAGAGTCTGAGCGTTTGCGAAACATCTCGTACCAACGGCAGATTGAGGCCGGCATGAAGAACCCAGGCAGCGCTGGACTTACGGCCGACAGGCTTGGCGACGCGGCTAAATGGACTCCGGCGTCGGATTAAGACCAGCAGGTGATGACGACGTAGTCGGTCTGTCGAGAAGTGGCAGGACATTGGAAGGGTGCCCGCGACAGATTGCTTGGTGGCTGATTCTATTTGATCCTCAGCTGGAGCCGCCGACGAATGCCCGCTGTCTCTACCCGTCCTCATTGTTGATACACCAGTGTATTTTCCCACTCGCAATGGATTCCTTTCTTGTTGTTTCAAGATAAAATAGTGTCATTTGAAGAGTACATACACCTCTCGCGTGCAATATTCCCCCTTTCATGTCCCGCGCCTAGTACGTCGTTAGCTGGGGCGTACCCTCTGCCCGCGGAAGGGACCACTTGGTCTCAACAAAGACTTTCTGCATAGCGTCCTCCCTATTTTCGAACTTGTAGTACACCTTGTCGAGGTCCTCGAGCCGGACGCGGTGCGAGAGCATCTGGTACGGGTCAATGTCATTGCTCTGCACACGCTCGAGCAGCTCGTGCCAGTACTTGTGGACGGGCGCCTGGCCGTTGCCGATCAGGCGGATGCCACGCTGCATCAGGGAGCCGACGTTAAAGTGGTTGGTCTGCGGGGCTCGTGTCAGAATGTGCTGGAAGGAAAGTCACAGACAGAGCATGCGAAGGGGGGGTGGCTCACATAGCCAACATAAACTCCCGTCAGGCCCACGCGTCCATAGTTCCGCACGCCCTCGACCATCTCGTTGATGATCTCGCTCGTGTCCGTCTCGGCCCCGACCGCCATCTCGAGCCAGTGCGCCCACCCCTTTGCGTACTCGCCCGCGGCGCAGTCGATGGCGACGTCGGGGCCCCTGCCGTCCTTGCACATGGCCTTGAGCCTGCTCACGACCGTCTCCTTTGTCGTGACCCCCGACGCCAGCTCCTTGTAGTCGATGGCGCGCACGCGGCGCTCCGTCGCCTCGTGGGCCGCGAAGCTGCCCATGACGAACGACAGGCGCGGCTCCGTGTCCACAAAGACGACCTCGTGGGCGCCCTCGTGCAGCGCGAAGAAGCCGGCCATCTGGCCGATGGGGCCGGCGCCGAAGACGGCGACCGAGTCGCCGGGGTACACGGCCGTGTCCTTGACGGCGTTGTAGGCCGTCGGCAGCACGTCCGACAGGTACAGGGCCTTCTCGTCGGGCACACCGTCGGGGATCTCGAGCAGGTTGACGTCGCCGAGCGGCACGCGCACGTACTCGGCCTGCCCGCCCGCGAACCCGCCCGTGAGGTGCGAGTAGCCGAACATGCCCGCCGTCTGCCCGCCGTACATGCCCTGCAGCGTCGCGTTTGCGTTTGTGCGCTCGCACTGGGAGGAGAGCTTTTGCTCGCAGTAGAAGCACTGCTCGCGGGGCGGTTAGTAACGTGTTGGCTATTGGTGCTTGGGTGCTTGGGTGTGGCGACAAGGAGGGGGAAGTGAGACGAACCTCTCCGCACGCAATCTGGAACGAGGCCACGTATCGCTTGCCGACCTTGATATTCTTCACCCCGGGGCCGATCTGGTCGACGATGCCGCAGAACTCGTGGCCTAGGATGTCGTTCTTCTTCATCTGCATGACGGTGCCGTGCAACAGGTGCAGGTCGCTGCCGCAGACCGTGCTGCCAGTCACTTTGAGGATGACATCCCTAGGCTCCAGGATCTGGGGCACCGGCATGTCAGCTGCAAATTGTGTATTAGTACAACGGTCAACACTAACTAGCATTTACGCTCTGATGAATAGCACACTTACCCATTTCGACTTTGTTCTTGCTAAGCCAGACGAGCGCCTTCATGGTCCGGCTCTGGTTTCCCGCCTCGCCGCTGTAGTCGGTAACATCCTGCTGAATGATCGAGTCCTGTGGCGGCTGGTCTTTGTGGCCCATGGCCTTTTCCACGGCGTAGGCTGCCTGGCTTGTAGCCATGATATTAAATGGACTCTTATTTACACGATTGATGATTTGGTGGGGTGCTTCTGTCGTCTGTCGCGTGACGGAGCGGAATGGAGCAAAAAGGAAGCGTGAGCATCAAACGTGGACTGAGGCACCAACGACACTATTATAATCTGACCATCCAGACCCACTAGCAAACGCTCCTTGACGCGAGCATAACGACATGCACCGTCACCGCGGTTTTAGGAGCCCTTTGCATTTTCTCCCGATGCATGGTGGCGGTCGTGCGTCACCGAACCATCGACACGATCTGGCTGGTGGGCGGGGCACGGCGGACATCTACGACGTCATGGACTCGCCATCGCCGCGGCCACGATTGTCGATCAGTTTACTGAAATGCCACAGTGCAACCGACCCAGGCGCGCGGGTAGGCAAGAGCAATTCTCTGGCGCAAAAATTAAAGGGGTATTTTATCCAATGTGTCTAGTTGATTCGCAGCATGCTCCCATGGTCTGTGTATGAGGAGTTCGCGTTCAGCAAGTGGGCTTGCCAATACTACAACCCTAAACCCCTTTGCCCCCCCATATCGACCGTACGGCTGGCCATGTCATCGCTTTCCTGTCCCTGGCAGAGAGCCCATTTGCCGGGCGTTAGCTATCAGGCACCAAGGGGTCGCTGGTATTTGGCCAGTTGTTCGCAAAGCCATCGCAAGGCAGTCGCAGCGCTCTCGGCGCCGAAGCCCTGCCCCCTGCAAAAAACCAGATCCTGTATAGACGACGCGGACGTGGTGAAGTCGGGCAGCGACGGCACGTCTTCCCCGTCACGCTCGCCCCCCACAAGGACCGCGTGCCAGCCTGATCCCACCGCACCACACACGTCCTTCTTGTAATCGTCGCCGACCAAGATTGAAGTCCACGCCGTCCCGCCGCGGCGCGGCCACAGTGCCCGTCCCCGGCTCCAATCGGGACCAACGTGCTCCTCCTCTGGCGCGCCGATGGACGCGTTTGCCAGGGCTCGCGCGGTGCGGAACATGGCGGGGTTCGGCTTGTCATACCCAACGTCGCGCGACGTGCAGCAAAAGTCGATGTCGTGCTGCTGCGCCTCCGCGAAGCCGCCACGCGGCGGGGGCGGGGACAGGTCGGCCAGGCCGTCTGTGCGCGGCAGCCTCGACCCCCGGCGCAGCGGCCCGACGTCCAGGCCAAGGGACGTCAGGACGCCCGGGATGCGGTCGTCCGAGTTGGTGAGGACGCCCACGGCCACGCGGTACGCGGGCGGCCCCCCGGACCGGTGGCCTGTCTGTTGCCGCCGCAAGTGACGCAACTCCCGCAGGAGCGGGCCAATCTCGTCGTCGACGAAAGCGTAGCCCTCTGCCGACGAGAAACGGCGCAGTAGACGCGGCGCCAGGTGTTCAGAGATTATCTGGTGGTCCTCCTCGCGCACCAGCGGGTTAAAGACCCTGTGGATGAGCTGTTGCACAAGCCGTATGTGTCAGCCAGTACGTCATCGCCGAGGGAGAGCAGGGCAAGGTGGTGGCGTCGCCGACATTTGTCCACCACTCCTCGGCGCTCATCCTGCTGTCGCGGCCGTAGTAGGGGTATTCCTTCATCATTTGCGGAAACTCCACCTTGAACGAGTTCCTGATGTCTGCATCCATGAAGCCCGACAATCCCAGCTCGCGCGCAACCTCGCCATATTGCGTCGGCACCGCGCGCCGCGGCTTGATTAGGGTGCCGAAGGCGTCAAAACAGATAAGGATATTGCGCGGCTGTAGTCGCGCCATCTGTTTCTGGGTCTACAAAATTGCAGGGTTCGTGGTGAGGCAAATCCGAGGCCGGAGAGGAGCAGAAATCGGTCGTCCAAATAAACTCCACGTCGGTGCGGGCTACAGGCCTCATGGCGCTGCGGGTATGCCCCACCGCCGGGGCATGTCTCCGCCGCACTGGCAGGCCGCACCGCTATGATTGGGGAGTTAACAGCGGTATAAAAATAATGAACTCTACCGCTTGCAAGCGCGAGCTATGTTGTAAATTAGGAGAAGCAAAAAATTTACGAATGGTCGACCTTTGTGCCCTCCTAAGCGCCACCACCCATCGCTTAGTTGTTCGTTTTGGCTGGAGGAGGGTTGTTATTATTCTTTCGCGAGAGCAGGGTTGTTGTTCTTCTTTGCTAGTGCGGGAGTGTTTCGTTTCGCGGGTGGTGAATTATTCTACTTGGCTGGTGGAGGAGTGATTTCTTTGCTGGTGGAGGACTATTCAAATTGCTTTGCTGGTGATTTTGGCTACGATGGCAGTTTCAACTTAGGCGCTTCGCAACGGCCATCACGTGTGGTAGGCTTCGGTAGCCGTCCGCCTGGTGTCCCCTCCCCAGTCGCTACCACGTCGCATCTAACCACACATTCCCGCCGCCCATACACAGCCGCGGGGCTCGGGTTTGGCCAGCACGTCGATGAGGTCACCCCGGAGCACTTGTCAGCTATCCTGCTGTACATCATGGCGAGCTCCGTTATCTGGAGCCTCGGAGTGTGCGCCGCCAAAGCCTCCTTCGCCTGTTTCTACCTGCGCCTGATTTCGGATCGGCGCTGGGTCCTGGTTAATCGCCTCGCCATCGTATGCTTGCTTTGCCAGGGCATCGAGCAGTGCCTTTACGAAATCCTACAGTGTAAACCAATACACAAGGCTTGGACCCCGGGGGTAGAGGGCACCTGCATCCCGCTGTGGTGGGGCGGCGTGAGTAATGTGGATTCTTGGAGCACGGTCTCCTACCCTGCCTTGGCCGTTTCTGACTACCAAGAGGGCTAATCTGTGCGAGGCTGACAGTTTGCTTTGAACTTGGGCCTCGACCTGATCCTGTTCATCGAACCGATCCCGATCGTGTGGAGCCTGCAGCTTATCCCTGTCACCAAGAAGATCGGCATCATTTTTATGCTATCGCTCAGGCTCTTGTAATTCGCTCCGTCCCAGCGCCTATGTGAACCAAGAGACTGACTGATTCTTGGCTGACACTGGAAGGATATGCGGCATTGCTATAATCCGCATCGTCGATGCCAACAAAACTGGACCGGACGTCACCTGTGCGTTCTCCTCCCCTACTTCCCGATTTATGGTGACACATTCTGAGGAGAAGGGACTCCGCAGACGACCTCGCCGAGCCCATCTTGTGGTCCCTAGCCGAGATAGCGGCATTGATAATATGCCCCTGCGTCCCGAGCATGCGACAAGCGGTGCTTTATGCCCCTGGCTCAGCCGAGTGCTCGGACTATCCACCAATACTGGAGACGGTGACAGCCGCTAGCAGCCTGGCGGGCCGGGTGAAGAAGGGACCGAGGTTCGGGAAACCGGAATCGACGGCAGCAGCAGCAGCGGCAGCAACGTTAGTCTTGCAGGCGGTACCGTGGCAGCCGCCACGAGAAATGGTATAGCGAGGGCAGCGGCAACTCGACCAGCCGGTTTGTCTCCCGCCACCTGCGCGGCATAGTCCAGTTTGGCACCGCCGATAGGACTACTACAGCTGGCACCGCCACCGCGACTGCCGACCACGGCTGTGGCGGGGATTTGGAGAGCGGCGCGGGCGGCGGCATAAGCGGTGGCGAAGCTGCCAGTCCCAGCGACCAGCAGCAAGGACGGCCAAGTGACACGCATCACTGACTCGCCGCCGCCGCCGCCGCCGCCGTGCCGCCCCAGCTCGGCCTGACCAGCCACATCTCGTCGGCGGGCTGGCGGGAGAGCAGCGGCACAGGCCCGCACGACGTGCCGGCGCAGCATGACCCCGCGTCAGGGGGTACCAACGCTTCCCCATCGACACCCGCCTCCGGCAGCGGTGGCGACGGCGGCGGCGACGCGACCGCGACGGCAACAACGGCAACAACGGCAACAACGACGAGAGTGGCGAGGGTACACGGCGGCGGGGCGGCTGGCCAGTCGCAGATCCTGGTGACGCTCGAGATCGACCACGACGTCGAGGAGGTCCGCGAGCAGAACCGCCAAGAGGAGCAGGCGCTCGCGGCCAGGCAAGGGCACATCGTGCCCGAGGGGTGGGCGACCACGAGCCTGTCCGTGGGAACAGCCGCGTCTAGTAGGAGCGCGTCGCCTGCGAAGCGCTCGAGGATCGGAGATGGGGGTTATCGCTGACCGGCGCCAAGTGCCCAATCTGAGCAGCAGATTCGGGTATTCGTTTGGCAAGTAAACGATTTGGCTCCCCGCGTCGAGTAAGTAGCGCGACTCCAACAATGATGGCAAGATACGCGCTTTCCCTTATTTCGAAGACCATCGCCCATCACAGTCGGAAACCCCCGTACCGAGAGGAGTACCGACCCAACACCTTTGACATTGCTGAGGGAAGAGGTTTTACTGTGATAAGGAGGCTGACAGCCCCGGCTGTCGCGGGACTGGGTATGCCGACTGCGAAGCGCTGCGCAGAACGGCGCCTGGCCAGTCCATTGTTTGGTTGGGATTTGACTCGATCAGCTCGCTGTTGTGGAGGATAAGCTACCGATAGGACACGACTATACTGCAAAGAAGCGAAACATGCAATAGACTGAGCATTTCATAGGCCTCTATCCTAATCGGAAGGAAATGGAGTGAGGGTAGGCGACCTTCGGTACCGTTGGTCCTTGGCTGGGGTCCGCTGCTTTATGACACTGCAACATATTGCCACTTGTGACTTAGCTTAGCTCGCTGTTATAACCACCTGTCCCCCAGTGAGCCCAGCCGCCGATGCCGTAACTGTAATGGGCCCGGTCGCCGCCGCATTCGCCTTGACAATGGCCAGCGCCAACCCCGAGAAGGCCTTGCGGCTCGCGCTGGGGAAGGCCGTCATGTCGGTCGGGTCACCGTTGTCCGTGGCCACCAGCTTCCCCGGCCCGCTGACGGCGAAGGTGATGGCGTTGTTTGCGCGCGGCACCACCGTCCCCTTGGCGTCCACGACCGCCACGCTGACGTAGGCCAGGTCCGCCCCGTCGCCGGCGATGGCCGCGCGGTCGACCGTAACCTTGAGGCCGGCGGCGTTCCCCGCCGTCAGCTGCGTGTCGACGGCCCACTGCTTCCCTCCCTTGTACGCCACGGCCCGCAGGTCGCCGGGGCCGTACTTGACGTCGTCCCAACGGAAGCGGTAGACGGACTTGCCCGGGCGCTTCTTCCGCCCCGCCGAGGCCCCGTTGACGAACAGCTCGACCTCGTCCGCCGAGCTGAAGACGTGCACGGGAGTGGTCTGCCCGACGCGGTCGGGCCAGGTCCAGTGCGGCAGGATGTGCACCATGGGCAGGTCGGGCCTCCAGCGGGCCTGGTAGATGTAGAAGCGGTCCTTTTTAAACCCGGCAAGGTCCACGATGCCAAAGTAGGAGCTGCGAGCGCCGCCGTTGCCGCCGTAGGGGGTCGGCTCGCCGAGGTAGTCGAACCCGGTCCAGACGAACTCGCCCGCCACGAAGGGGAACCTGTCCTGGGCTTCGAAGACTGTGTCCGCGCTGCCTCCCCACCCGGGGTTACCGAACTCGTAGGCGCTCAGCCACATGCGGGCGGCGTCCGACCCTCCCGCGACGTCGAACTTGGCGTTGTTGCTACTCGTCACGGGGAACAGGTGCGTGCCCCGGCTGCTGATGCACGACGCCGTCTCGGTGCCCCAGACCATCTTGGAGGGGAACTTGCTGTGGAAGCCGCCGTAGCCGCCGTACTCGCCCTGGTAGTTGAGCCCCACGAGGTCGAGCGCGGCGGGGAGCGCCGCCGTGTCCGGGGCCGAGTTCATGGCCGAGGTGACGCCGCGGGTCGGGTCCTCCGACTTGACGATTCCCACCAGCTCCCTTCCCTCGGTGCCGCCCAGCGCGGTCGACTGCTCCGGTATCTCGTTGCCGATGCTCCATGCGATAACTGAAGGGTGGTTCCGGTCGCGCCGCACGAAGGCGCGCAGGTCCGGCTCGTGCCAGTCCGCATAAAGGAGGTGGTAATCGTTGCTCGTTTTGCCCTGTGACCAGCAGTCGAAGGCCTCGTCCAGCACCATAAAGCCCATGCTGTCGGCCAGGTCGAGGACCTCCGGGGCGGGCGGGTTGTGCGAGGTCCGCAGCGCGTTGGAGCCCATCTCCTGCAGCGTCTGCAGCTGCCGTTGCGTCGCCCGCAGGTTGATGGCGGCCCCGATGGCGCCTTGGTCGTGGTGGTTGCAGGTGCCCTGCACGCGCACCTGCTGGCCGTTGATCAGGAGGCCTTTGTTCGCGTCGTACGTCACCGAGCGGATGCCGAACCTGGTCGTGTAGGTGTCGATCACGGCTCCGCTTGAGGACAGCGTGGTGACGGCCACGTACATGTTCGGCGTCTGGCCCGGCGGCGGACCCCAGAGGCTGGGATTGGAGATGGTGACGGACCCGTTGACCGACTGCTTTTTGCCGGCGCCGACGCTCACTGTGCTCTTCTTGAACGAGGCCACCGCAGCCGTCCCTGCCTCTCCAGTGCTCGGGTCGATCTTGTAGACCTGGGTGTCCACGTCGACCTGCCTGGTCTCGGTGCGCAGATTCTCCACCTGCACGGCCAGGTTGACCACGGCCGAACTCGCAGAAACGGAAGGCGTCGTGATAAAAGTGCCCCACTGAGCCACGTGCGTCTTGTCCACCTTGACGAGCCAGAGGTTCCTGTAGATGCCCGCGCCGGGATACCAGCGCGAGTTATCCAACTGGTTGTCCAGCCGCACAGCGAGGATGTTGGTCCCGGTCTTGAGGTGCGGCGTCAGGTCCAGCCGCCACGAGGCGTACCCGTGCGGCCAGCCGCCGACCAGGTTCCCGTTCAGCCAGACGGCCGCGTAGGACATGGCCCCGTCGACGTCGAGGAAGACTGACTTGGTCCCATCCATGTCGGCCGCCGTCGCCATGAGGTTCCGCCGGTACCAGCCCACCCCGTTGGTGGGCAGCCGGCCCATGCCGCCGCTGATGCCGGGCGCGTTGAAGGGCCCCGCAATGGCCCAGTCGTGGGGCAGATCGACGCTCTGCCACCCGGCGTCGTTGAAGGACGCCTGGACGTACTGGACGTTCCCGCCGGGAGGCGTCCCGGTGGGAGTCTGGCGCTTGACGCCGTTGACTATGAAGTCGTTAGCCAGTGGCAGAATCCACGGCTTGAGTGTGTTGTAGGACAACGAGTCGGGGTTGGAAGTGAAGCGCGAGAACTTCCATCCCGCGTTGAGGCTGCTGCGGTCGCGCCCAGGGCTCGCCGCCGCCTGAGTCCATGGGGCTACCGCCGCCACCAAGGCCACAAGAGTTGTCAGAGTCAGCATTATGCCAGTTCCGTGGGGACTAATTAGCTGACAAGGCGGTGATGTACCAACCGTGAAGATGGTATGCTAACGATGGATGGTGGGTTTGCTCCTTTATTTATCAAGATCGCCGACAGGGGACTGCTGGTTCCATTATCCGCGGGACCCCAATCGTGCCGCGCTATTAGTGGACTGAATTATGCCAGACGACAGTAGTCGCTGCCGGTGCTCAAGCTGTGGGATTGACAAGATACCCGCGAGGGTAATGTGACAATTACCCGTTGAAGACCGGTACTGTTGCACTGATCTACACGTGCTACGGTTAGCCGACGGAACATTCATCTCCCCGTGAAGGCGCAACAGCCTGGAAAAATTCCAAAAGACCGTTCGTACCGAACCTGTGGCAAATTCCAGCCATTCCGCCGTCGGATTAAAACCTTGTAGCCGTCGTATAAATCTCCGTCCGGCTACCATCGATGCCACGCTGCCATCAACAAAACTAGGCAGGAACGCCGGCGAGGGCGGGGGAAAACGAGGGGGAAGGCGGGGGAAGCGGGGGGGAGGAGGGGAAGATCGGGTTCCTCCCTCCGCGATTCTTTGGCACTTCCAGCTGACGTTGCACTTATTTCTGAGCTCCGGAGATTGTTTATGCCCCAAACCCCAACATTCAGGTTAGCGGCATCACCAGGATTCTTAGTTTTGTATGGAATTATCCTTCGCTAACTACCGTTCATCGTTCATCGCTGGAGTTAACCGACATTGATAATTGGTGAATTATTTTCTTGCCGGTCTTTTGGCAACCCCCTGGTGGGAAAGGAAGTTGAATCACCATTAAAACGCCAGATTTGAGATGGCAGTACTTGGCACCGTTCCGCAAAAGAGGCCTTGCCTGGATTAATCAAACACAACTCTCACAGGTTGCTTACTCTTTTCTCTCATCCACGTAGTGTCCCAATGGGGTTAGGCCATCCGGGGGCTCCAACAAAACGTGACATCATCGGATAGTTTGCGTCCTCGGATGCCATCAGGGTGGCCAAAAGTATCCGCGGACGTAATCCGGCCGTTGGAATGGCACGGCGACGAGCTTTCCGAACTTGACGCTGGGGATTGGGGTGGGATTGGAGTTCGCTTGGAACCACCAAAGGTTTGTGCTGGATACGGGCTCAAGGCGACACCGACTAAAGCTTTCCAAGGAGCACCGGGCCGGTGAGACCGGCCCTTGCCTCGTACTCATTTATGGCACGGGTGAGAGAGTTGTTGATTTAACTTTGGCGATAAGCAAATCACTTGCGAGATCCCACGAGCTACGGCGTGCTTATTCTATCGCTCATATGCCTAACCCCTTGCCGAAGAGACAGTTTATGACGGACAAACGGTGCAAGATAGGGTTTATTGTAAGGGAGTGTCATATCACCACGTACGTATTACTATTTAACCCAAAATAGCGGAGTTACCGTGTAATACAAACTGTTAAAATACCTTTACTAGTTTAGGCGGGGGATCCGTGCTTTCCCTAGTCGATTAATGCTAATCAATAACGTAATTATATTCGTTAGTAACGTACGGGAGGCACTAAAGTTAACTCCCTGTATGGAAGGAATTATAGCTAGTAAATAAGTAAGGGGCTGAAGGCGCATATTACAGCAAATAAGGCAACTGCAAAAAGTGGTTAAAAAAAGATAGCGAAATGCATTTTATTTACTGCAAAATGGTTACGTGCCCTTAGTATGTAATTTAACTAAACCCCTTTGCTATAACAGCGTATTTCCTAAATTAACTGCGAGGGCCGGGGTTTGTAATCCTTTGGTACTCACTGTTTGCTTACAACTTTAGTCGGCTTTTTAATTAAATAAGCAAAGCGTAAAAAGCTTCGTTACAAAAAGGCCAAATAGCGTTAAAATGTATTGTCGATTAAAAAGTCATTAAAATAAAGCCGGGTTAGTAAAAATCGCGAATTTCTTTTGGTATTAGGGATTAAAATGATTGCAAAGCGGATTTTTTTTTAAAAAAAGGTAGGTTTTAATAAGCAAAGCGGGCCTTTAGTAAGCTTAAGCCGGATTTATGTTTGAATTTGCTTATTAACCGGCGCAAAAAGGAACGGCCGTATTAACGACCGTACAATACGGGGAATTAAACTAGTAACTTTATAAATTAACGCAATTAATATGGGAAAACATCGCTCGTTATTTGGGTATATTTAATTTGGCTTGTAAAACGGTGCGCGGCGATGTTTACACGCATGCACGGATAAGTACGGGGTTAAATAGTAATACGTACGGGGTAATATAATACTACCTTTATTGTATATTAATTTAAATCTCTAAAGGAAGAAGGAAAACTAGCACAGGGCCTTCGGCCCTGTGCCCCCCTTATACACAGTGATCCCTCTCTTTTGTGTGCGGTACTCGCTCCCGCACCCCTGTCATTACCGACGAATGCTTGGTAAGCATTTAAGTTAGTGCACCCCCTGTCCGGCACCATCACAGGCCCACAACATGGAATCTTCTCGAGTCCCTCAACCCTTTATATTTTGGCTAATTTTAATCCGTTTTCCTTACTTTTTGCTGCATTCCAATGACAAAATACCAGAAAAGCAATATACGGAAGAAGACGTCGAACAGGCCCTAGCAGCGGTGCAAGCTAAAGTCCCAATTGCAAAGGCCGCTCGACTTTAGGGGTGCCAAAGGTAACCCTTTAAAGCCGTTTAAAAGGCGCTTTACTTATCCGGCAATTACAAAAGCAGTATTAGCGGATAGCCTTTAAGCAAAAAAGCGCTTGGTTAACTGGATTTTATTACAGGATCTTTTAGCGTTTTACCAACGCACGCGGAAATCCGGTTTTTTACAAAGGAAATCCTCCGGCACGGGGGTAATTCCCGGCTTATCGGGAAGCACTAAATTTATACCTTTTTAAACCGGTATCCGGAAATCCGTACTGGAAAGTTTAAGCGCATAAAATTTGCACGCGTTAAAAAGGCTATTATTACAACAATAAAAAAATGGTGGTAGCGCTTGCAAATACCCGAAGTGGCTGGCATTAAGCTGGAAAATACGTATAACGCCGATAAAAGCGGCTTGTAAGAAAGTAGGACCGGTAACGGGCTTGTTTTAAATTTTGCTAGTACTTAAATTTTATAGCGCGAAAAGCCTAGGTTTTATACGTAAACGTTATTTATTAAATGCATTTCGGTTATTAAAGTATTTGTTAAAGGTCGATCGGTGTAAAGGCGGGTGGTTACCAAGTTACGGGCCGGATGCGGTGTTTCCTTTGTTAAACCTCCGTAAATTTTTTACCAAAGGTGCTATTTCCAACAAAAATTGTTCTTTTTTTAATTTCCCCTTTTTTCGTGCCCTTTCGGGCACGCGAGGTTGGTTTTTTAAATTTTCCGCGCTTTATACGCTTTCGTACAATTTAAACTTTATTTTATTTTTTAGCTTTGCTATTATGCTTTAGCCGCAATACCAGCATTTTGCCAGTACGTTACTAAAAAAATCCGTATTTGGCCAATTATGCCAATGCTTTTTTTTTTTTGCCGGGCGGTTTTGCCCGTACATTTAACGTTTCCCGTTTTTTACCGGGCGGTTTTGCCCGTGCTTTTAACATATTGCCTTTTTTCGATACGGTTTATCCCAAGCCGCGTACGCCGCACGGGGGTATTCCGTAAGTAACCGGTAATTAACGGTATTTTGTTAAACCGCGCTAATGCCCGGCAACGTTTAGGAAAACCGGTTGTAAAGCTTTATAGCATTTGGAAAAATGGGTTTATACCGGCATATAAAAAGCTTTTTTTCCCGTTTAAAGCCGCAAGCCTTTTTTTTCCTTTTGATGCATTTAATAACCATTTTAAAAAATTTAATAACCGTAACCGTAAATAATTAATATTTGGCCGTTTTTTTAAACCTTTAAATTTAACCGGTAGCTATAAATGTTATTTAATATAACCGCCGCGGTAAAAAAATTGGGTTTTTGCTAAATGCTTACTTTGGGTTTTTCGGTTTTAACCAGCCCGTTAGCCCTTTCCGGCCCCCCGGTTCCCCAAATTTTAGCTTAGCGCTTTTTTAATAACTTTCCGGTATTTTTTTTAACTATTGTAATTTAATCGAATTCGAATTCGGATTTGCCGGAATTTCCAATTTTTTAAACTTTTAATAATTGCTTTGCCGGTAACCTTTCGGTAAACCTTTTAAATGTTGCGGGTTTATTAAACTTTTCCGCGTTTGCAACCTTTTTAAATTCCCGTAAGCGTTTTGCTAGTAACCCCCCGGCGGGCTTTAACCGCTGCGGCAAAAAAACCGCCGTTAAAAAAAAACGTAAAGCGCGCAACAAGCGCCGCCGCAATGTTTTTAATTTTAATAAATTTATTTCCAAAACGGACATTGCTTTTTTTTTGTTTTATATGGGTATTTGCAACGCGCTTTCGTTGCAAAAAGTTATTAATTTCCAATAAAGCAATAATTAAAATTTTATTTATTTGCTTTTTTTTAAATACAATTATACGGAGCGTACGGTATTTTGTAATTGCTATTTTAATTATTAAGCATATTAAAATTATGCCGTTAACCCCCGTATATTAATATGCTTTAATAATTATATAAAGTTTTTTAAATGCATTTATTGCAAAAACGTAATTAGCAATAAAGCTTGCGTTAAATTTCCTAAATGGTTTTAGGAAATGGCTTAAAACCTTTACAAAATTTTAAATACCGTTTACAAGCGGTTTTTTAAAGCAATACCGGAATTTTTCGAAAAGCTTATTAAAGCCCAATTTTGCGCCCGCAAAGCTATTTAAAAAGTTAAATCTTTTTATACCATATCGGCCAAACAATTTGCGCGTTACAAACGTTAAGCCGTTATCCAAAAGCGCATTTAACGCAAAATTGCTAACGTTATAACATTAAAAATTATTTAAAACATTTTTTAATAATTTTACGCTATTGCCGTTTAAACGAAAAAGCAAGTTTAAGCTTTAGCTAATATTAATAATTTTTTTAACGAAGTAGCAACGTTTTTTAAACGTTTCGAAAAAGGTATGGTTGTAAGAAGGACTCTGGGGTGGAGTTTTATGCTCGTAAAGCTCCAAACGGCGTAAAACTAAGGTTTGATAATTATTAAAAGGTAATTAGGTTAAAATGTTGTTATTTAGGTTTAAAATGGAAAGAATTTTGCTAAAAAAAAGGAACGGATCCAACCTTTTTATATAAGTACAAAGGAGCTTTGGATGGCCGGTGCACAAATTCCGGATTTGTGCATAGCGATTTTTTAAAGCCTATGCATGCGCTTAATAAATAGGTTTTAATACCGATTATTTTTTTTTTGGTAGCGTATGCATGGTAAAACGGAAAAAAAAAATTTGCGGTTCGAATGCGCGGTAATAAATAATTTGCTAAATTAGCGATTTGGGTAATATGTAAAAAAAAAATGCTTGTCCGAATTGTTTTGCCGGATGCGTATTGCTATTAAATAATAAACGTGGATAAAAATTTGGGAAATTATATAAATTTTAATTTTAAAGCTTCGAAATTGCTAAATTTAAAATTATGGGCGTTTGGGATTATTGTAAATTAAATAAAAAGTTTTTGTAATGTTTGGAAATGGGTGCGTTAAAGGCGAAAGTGGAAGTTAACGAATAAAAGGCGGTAAGCTTTTATTTGGCCCGTTAATCGTCGATCCAATTATTTTAATCTTTTCCTTTTACAACCCCGTTTTTTAAACCAATTTAATTGGTTACGTACGTTCCGGAATCGTTGTTTACAGTTCGTGCGCTCGTTATATTGTTGTTTTTTATTTTCCTTTATTTAATTTTGTGCTTTATACCTTTTTAATAGCATTATGGACTTTTTGTTTGGTTCGAACGCTTAAAATCCGTTCGACCACGTTCCGGAAAGCGCTATTTTATTGGAAAAAGCTTAAAATTAACAATTGGTTATTTGTATCGTTCCAAAGCAAAATTTTACAGCTTACCTTTAAGCCATGCCTTTTCCCGTTAAAAAGTTTAACGAGCTTTTTTTGTTTCCGGCATTACAATTTGTGCTTAAAAGCTTGCCCGCGCCCGTTTCGGCCGTTCCAACCGCTTCCATCGGTTGCAAAAAAAAGCGTATCGTTCCCCGCAATGGCCGTAATGGTTTTAATGTTTGTAAGCGCGGTAAAAAAAGTGCTAATCGAGCGATAATTTGCTTTGGCTGCTTTAATTCCGTGCTTTACGGTAAATTTGGCGTTAAAAGCGATGTGGCTTGGCTTTATATTAAAAAATTGGGTTTTAATAGCAAGCGTTGCTAGCGTTATGCTTTTGGTTATTTGTGCAAGCTTATGTAAGGATTTTTTTTTTTCGTTTCCGGGTTTTTTGCGTTAATAATCGCTAATTTTCCGCTTGTTTATCGTATTGCTATAAAATTTTTTGCAAAAGCGCTTAGCAACGAGCTTTATAATGCGGTATATTATTTTTATTTTATATATCCTGTACTTTACCAATTCGCTAACGTTATTTTTCCGATCGTAAACATTTTAAAAATAGCGTATTATTATTAAGCAACTTTTTAAGCTCGATGCTAAATAAGCCAATTCGAATGCCAATTTTGCAATTATAATTTTGGGTTAGCAATACGAAGCGGGGCGTTTGGCCGCTTTTCGTTTTTTTAAAATTGCGTTTTTCGAAGTTTCGGGCAAAGGTTTTTCCGTTTAAAACGATAATGCGGATAAAGAAAATAAAAATTATAATAGCAATAATGTTGCAGGCAAAAGGGATAGGCACGGTGTAAGGCTACTCCGGTTAATATGCTTTAAGGAAAAAAGGATTTAAAGTGCAGGGTCCCGTAGGGGCCTCTGCCCTTTATATACACGTAACTCCCTGTCCTCCTTGCTTACTAAGTTTCCCTCCTAACGCCTGGAAGCGTTATACGCTTCCAAGCAAGGGGACCGCTTTTCCGATGCCTTAAGCATTTAATATTTATGCCTAAAGCTTTTTTATAACAATATATACTATTTATTTTGTAATATACCCTTTAAGCGAACCTTTTGGGTTATTTGTAAATAAAATAAAAGGAAATTAATTGCCATGTTAATAGCGTAGGATTTAAAAGCTTACCGCGTTTTTAAAGGTTAATTGTAAAAACGCATTAGCTTCGAAAAGTAACGAAGCAAGCGTTTTTCGCTTTTAAAAGGTAACCGTAAAAGCGCATTAGCTTCGAAAAGTAACGAAACAAGCGCTTTCCGTTGCTAAAAGCAACGAAATAAATGTTCCAGCCATAAAAGGTAACGAAATAAATGCTTTAACCATTACCGGAAAAAAGTAAGCGTAACAATTAAAACCTTTTTTTTTCCATTTCGTTCCGGCCTTTTTTTTTTTCCTTTTTACCACCATTTTTTTACCAATTCGTAAATTTTTACGCTTTTGTTCTTATCGTTTAAGCTTTTGTTAATATAAAAAATTTTGCAAAAGCAAAAATAAGCAATTGTAAGTGCTTTACGCGGCGGCGTGGTATTTTAAAAACGTTGTACGGTATTAATAAATTAATTGGAAAATGGGTATTGCCGGTAATAAAACGACGCTTACAACCGTTCGAAAGCGCGTTAAACGCAAAAAGCTTAACCGGGCTTAAGCCCAAAAAAAATAAGTTATAGCTTTTTGCTTTTTTACCAATTTATTGCTTTTTTGTTAATTTTATTTTATGCGCGTATAATGCGGATTTGCAAACGGTTATAGCTATTTTAGCAATTAAAATTAAGCAAACGAAAAAAGCATTATTTAAAAAAAAAAAGCCCAGCAAATCGAAAAGGATAAGCAAAAAAAAAGTAAATCCTTTGCGAAAAAAAATAAATAGCGGGATACAAAAAACGCGCGAAAGCAACAAGCTACCCGCAAAAAGGCTTAAAATAACGCCCAAGCAATTAAAGCGATAAAAGCGCGTGCGTTTGCCGAAAGCGCTAAACGGGTTAAAGCTAATCGGGCTCGTTACGTTAAACGAATGGAAACTTTGCGCCGTTTTTTAATTTAAACCCCGATTAATACTGCCGTAACCGTTTTCAAATTTCCGGTTATTTTTGCTATTTTTCGCACCTTTCGTTTTAATTCCCAACCTAACCCAACCGGTACTTTTTAAATTTCGGTTAAATTAAATAAAAGCTTCGGGCCCGATTAGCTTATTCGTTAAACGATTAAAATCGATTTTAATTCCGATAAATTTATTAATCGGTTCGTTTAAAAAAATAACGATAATAATAATAAACCCGTCGTTTTCCCCGATACCCGAAAGCGCAAAGCGGGTAAAAAAACAAGGGTAAATAGCTAAATTAATTCGTTTTTAACCGTTTTCGCGGGTTTTATGCTAATTACCCTTTTTTTTCCGTTTTAATTTTTAAAAAAAATGCTATTTAACCTTCCCTTTTAACGAAATCGTTAACCTTTTTTTAACGAAAACGTTTTAGCTAGCTTTTCCGATAATACCATTTCCCGCGCGGTCCCATGCAATGGGTGCACCAAAAGCTTTTTAACAAAATTTCGGGGCCTTTGCAGCAATAAGCCCATAGCGCGCTCTTTTCGGAATGGTTATATTTTACGGTATATTTAATATGCTTAAAGCAATTACCGTTGCAACCCTTTTTTCTTTTTGCCTTAATTGCGCATTGTAATTGCTTTATTCCAAAAAAAGCTTTTGGGTAGCTTTCGTTTTAAAATTAAAAAGCTTAAAAAAATGGTAAGCCATTTTTTTAAACCTTACCCAAAACCGGGCAGCAAGCAAAAGGATAAAGTTAAAAAAAAGAATAAAAAGGCTTCCCGTCGAAGTAATTTTGCTTTTCGTAGCCCGACCCTAAAAAAAAAGGAAAATGGTAATAATAACGAAAAAAGTTAAAAAAATGGCATTAAAACCGCAATAATTCGGGGCTATTTTTTTTATAAAAATGCCTTTATTTACTAAATAATAGGTAAGGGCTAAGGCTAGGATAAAAAGGAAAAATGGATAAAAAAAAAGTATAACGTTTTTAAAAGTTGCACGCGTTATAATTAAATACCGTTTTATTATTTAAAACCGGCATGCTTTATGGTTATTAATAAAAAAGGAATTTGCGTTATGCCTTTATATAAACGTTATACGCTTTTAATATTTGTTTCGAAATTTTTAATTACGTATTAAGCTTATTAACCCGTTTTTAAAAGAATCGTACAATTTTAAAATAGCTTTAAATGTTTTAAATTTGTAAAGCGAAAGGTTTTTGGTAAGCCCGTTTGCTGGTATAAAGGCGGTTTTAAAATATACCACATCGAACGTTCCTTTTTGGTACTTTTAGCGTAATTACATGTTTATAATATCCACGTGCTTTAAAGCCGTATTAATGCAAATGCCTTTTTTAATTACCAATCGAATCGTTTGTATATTGTTACAGCAAAGCTTCCAAAAAGTATTAATTTCCAAGCGCAAATTTCGGAAAAGCCTTTGCATAGCGATAATTTCCTTTTCGAGCTTTATAAGCGCTAAAAGTTTTGTTTTTATGGTAAACGTTGTAACGGTGGCTTATTTCTTTGCTTTTTACGTTACGGGCCCTTTAAATAAAAACATAACGTATTTT